ACAAGTGCCAGTGCTAACGAGTGGCTGCTACCAAGAGGAGGTCATAGTGTGCTAAGGCTGGGAACCCGAAAGGAAGGTCTAGTCCAGCTCCACTTTGCAGGTGTCAAGGCGGGAGCTGAGCAGAGTCCAGTGGCTGGCCCAGGTCGTGCAGAGTCAGTGACAGAGCAGAGCTATGGCCTGGGCCTGCTGGCTCCAGGTCCTTTATAGACAGTGCTGCTGCAGAAGCAGGCCCAGGTGATGAGCAGACCACCTGGTTAAGCTGTCTATAGCTGACTGGTGGTCCTCTCTGTGAAGCCAGGAGCAAGAGAGTGTTAAAATTCAGAACTGCCACTAGGCTATCGGTGACACAGGGACAGGGCCTTGTCAGTCTTGGTCCCTGGGGAGCCCCAGCATTTAATCTTGTGCCTGGTACGTTATAGGTGCTCAGTAAATATTTTCTGAATGAAAGAACATAAAAGAAACATTCCATATCAATGCTAGGACGTTTAGAATGGTTCCTTTCTGCTTTTAAGGTTCTTGAGCACGTGCCTGTACTGCTGTATATCTTGGCGGCAAAAACATTGATTCTTTGCCTGGCATTTGCTGGAGTGAAAATATACCAAAGGAAAAGATTGGAAGCCAAACAGCAAAAACTGGAGGCCGAAAAGAAGAAGCAATCAGAGAAGAAAGATAATTAAAGAGAAATCAAAGGTACTTAGACTTTATGAATGGGATTTATCTGGTGGGTTAGTCAGATGTGATAGGCCTGAAGAGTCCGTGTCCCTCGGTTTGAAGGGCCACATGAAGGCACATGACCTCGCCTGTCCTCCAAGTCGAACTGCTTTGTAGAAGAACCAGATGTGCAGACCTTGATCCTTGGCCAGCGAAGGTGCTCAGAGGATTGGTCCACTCTGCTTTACGCCTGCTGTGGTTCTTAATGGATCACAGGTCACAGTACTTTTGAGAATGACAGTTGTGCACCCTCACATGTGCTAAATACACCTGCTAAACATAGACCTGCAGGCATGTTTGGAGAAAGAGGAGGTGGAGAGTCACAGGAATTTGAAAATCCCAGATTTAGAAACCGTTATCTTTAAGTAAGTCTCATTCCTTAGTATGACAAATAACCCCCTCCCCAGTTTGTTCTCATCCCAAAACTCATCTGCCACCTCTTCTGCCCACTTAACATGCTCCTGCAGGCCATTCCTTTACCATAACAGACTTTTATGCCCCTCTGCTTTGCCTGTTAGTCCCCTGGCCTAGAGGGTCCACCTGACGGCCTCCTTACCAGGCATGAAGGCTTCGTCCTCATTTTAACCCAGTGTTAAAGCCATCCTTCGTTGGGGATATGTAGCACATGACACTTTCCCTGATGCTGGTGTGTGGAACCAGTTTCATGGTTTATAAGGTTGGGTTCTGTGCTTCTCTAAAAATGAGAAGATTCAACTGTAGTGGCAGGGGACTCTGGAGCAGCGGTTCTGAACCAGGCTAGTGGTAGGATTGCCTGGGTGCTTGTTAAAAACGTAGACCCCCAGCTACTAGCCTCAGGGAGAATCTGTTGTGGTGTGTGGGTCTGGGCATCTGTTTTCAGACCCTGTTAGGTGATTATTACATAGTCCTCCTAGCAACAGGCCAGTGCGGGAACCACTGGGCTGTCTGGCCGACTAGATGCCATACTTCTGAACATAGGCGTTTCCTTACAGTATTTCTTACTTGCTGAGATTAAAGGCTTGCTTATTGGTCATAATATGATGTTTCTGGGACTTGAACTACAGGGTTGGCCATGTAGGATCTGGCTGCCTTACCCACCAGGCTGTGGAGCCGGCTCTGTGCCAGGCATTTTGCTAAGCATTTCATACACAGCTGTGCTATTTTGCCTGCTGATGACTCTGTGAGTAATGTTCTGATTGAAAGAATGGCTTTCACACTACATGGTGAAGAGCTGAATCAGAATAGGAGCCCAGCCCAGACACCTCCAGCGCCTGCGACCCACCGGAGCTCCGTCATCTTCCTGTAGGTGGGAAAGTAAGCTGGGGGAGCTCTTTACTCTCCAGCACTCATCCCTCCACATCTACCACTGTAGGCTGGTCCTCAGGGAGCTATAGACTTTGACCAGCAAGAGCAGTTACTATGGTAGAACCTTGCTTTTTTTCTTTAAAAAACATTTTTGGCTAAAACTCATGGGCAGGCACTTGGGCAGAGGAGGAGGGAGCACTTTGAAATGAAAAAGGAAGAGGAAGGCACTTTTAACCAAGACGCTGATTGAATTTATGTTCCAGACGGAGTCGTCATGTGTGAATCTGGGCAGAGGGAGGAAGGGTGAAGCATGAGGTCACAAACAGCCTTCCCTCCCCAAAACGTCCCTGGAGACCTGTAGTGACGGGAGGAGTGGACATCCTTGGCTGAGCTCAGGGCTGACGAGGGGAGGGCTCCAAGGCTGGATGCTTATCAAGGACTAGAGCCTGGGCTGGCCTTGCTGCCTAATGATTAAGGGGCCCACATCCCGCATGGCTGATGGCAGTTTGAGTCCCGGCTCCTGCTGTTTGAAAATCCCACTGGACATGTGTGTGGGTGCCCCAAATCCTCACAGGATGGAGACATGGAGGAAAAGGGATGTGGAGTGATTGTGCCCCTTGGGGGTGCTCTCTCTCTCTTCCTTTCTTCGTCTCTCTATGGCTCTGGTGACTGCAGGTGCCCTTTGGCAAACAAAACAAAACTAAAAAACCTGGAACCTCACCATAAATAAAAGGGAACTTTGGGTGGAAGGGAAATCGTGATGCTAAAAATGCATTCGGGGACAGATAAACCTCAGTGGTTTCTGTTTAAGTCCAAACGGCCCATCCTAAGGGCCAGGACTGAACATAGTTCTGTCAACACTTCCTGCTTGCTCCTGTGGTCTTCTTTCTAGATTTTGTCGTGCAAAGGTCAGCTTGTGCAGACTCCCACAGAGAAGAAAGAGAAGACTTCAATACTGAATGATGTGTCAGGATAAACTCCCAACCTATGCCTTTAACTTAAAACCATGTAAACTTTTATATGTTTTTAAAAGCACCAGTATTGTGTTTACTGAATTAAAATAGCTTTGTAAAAACAGTGTCTTTGTTCTTTGGAAAAAGTGGAAGTGTATGTGTCTCCCTCTCACACCCTGTGTTGTGAGAGGAGGTGTCTTGCTAACCTACACCTCCACAGCATTTTCCAGCTGTGGATTCCAGATCACAAGTGTGTGTCCACACAGGACGGGCTGTAGAAGTAGCATCTGCTGTGGCTATGAACCGTGGGCCATAATGGAGCCTCAGCCAGCTCACCTCCCACACGTACACCTCCGTGCCCTGAGCAGGCTGCCCTCTGCACGCTCCTCTCTCCCCTTTCCTCCTACAGATGCTGTCTCCCTTGTGTGAGGGCTTCTGTTGTCAGGGTGGAGGGAGGCTGCGCACGGTCTAGGAACCCAGCCAGGAGAGTTGGCTCCTGCGCTGACTCAGGAGAGTCCTCAGAGGGAGGAGTAGCAGGGACTGAGGCAGGGAAGAACTCACCTCCTCTGGTCCTGTCTTGAAAGAACAAGGGGAGCCCTTGGATGTACTTTGTCCTCTCCTCACCAGTTTCTCGTTGGAATTTCTTGGCCAGAGATGAAAGGACAGATGTCCATACAAGATGTTTAGAATTGAGAGAAACGAATGTTAAGATTTTCATTTGTTTTTGCTAGAGTGTGTGCACTCGTCAGAGTACAACAGAGAGAGAAAGTGAGAAAGCACCCTCCCCCCCCTGGGGGGGGAATGCCGTGCCATAATCCCTTCTCCTTGGGAATTTGGGCATGCACGCACATGTCCCTGGCATGTTCTCAAGCTGCTGTGTCTGAGACTTGAACTGCACAGTAAGCCGTGTGGGTCCAGTGCCTACGCCACCACGGCACCTGCTGGCCCAGGAAATGGGGAGGTTTTTCACTCAGTGCCCACCACATTAGGACTAAGAGTCATGCGCTCAGTCACTTCTCTCACGGCGTCAGGGTGGGTAGGGCATGAGGAGGCAGCAGTCAGAGCTGTAGATATGGAGCAGTGTGTGGTCTCGTTGCTGGTGGCCACGTGGACAATTTATGTGAGTGTATGGAAGTATAATAAAAGATACTAATCCTAGCCTGGCCCAGTTAGGTAGATCTCTACATTTTAAACATGAGCAAAGGGAATTATATCCTGCTGTTATTTTATTGTTTGCTGGATGCTCTTAACCACAATTTAGGCAGCAGGGAAGAATTTACATAGGATCAGAGTTCTAAGTACAGCATAGACCTGACCTGTAAGCCACAAATCTCAGAATAGTTGAAAGGGGACTTTCACTTAGGCTTGCACCTCAGCCACTCTTGGCCAGGGATTCCTGGCACCCTCATTCTGACTGGCCCACTGAGTCTGAGGTTCTGTTGATCATGAACAGGTGAAGTAGTGTCCTTGAATTTCTGTGTCCTGGCCCCCACACTTCCATGACCTGCTCAGATGAGGCCCAGAACTGATCCTGTGCCAGGACTTCCCTCTAGGCTTCCTCGGGATGCCCTCTGAAGCCCAGCAGCTTGTCCTACACACACTGGTCCATGCCCCTGCTTCAAGGGGGGGGGGGCACTGTTCACTGCCCACTCTGTAGGACTGGGGCGTCACCTGGTCCCAGCACATTTGGCATCAGACCCACCACCTCTGGGCACCATTTCTTCCCATGTGCCCCACATCCAGGCCAGAGGGTCTATTGGCTTATTATGGAAAAACCTAAGCATGCTTAACCAGTGCATATTCATGTTTATTTTAAACGCAGGTGCTTTTCTAGGCTTTGTGATCTAAAGCTTGGTGTTGGAGTTTCAAGGACATCCAGCTGTTGGCTTGGAAAACGTGGTAGAAGATTTGAACCAAACTGTTGACCACACCCTTTGGTTTTATGTTAACTGTTTTGGGGAATATATACTCTTCTACCACCAGGGGGAGATGATTAATCACTAATTAGAATGATTGATTTCATCCCATTCCATGTGTACGCAGAGGTTTGTAGTTTGGTTTTAGTCATCGGTAGGATGCATGCGTGCAGGCTGGGTGTAAATAGATTAGTAAAACCCACTAGCAGGTCCCCACTGGGCTGCAGCTTGCTTGCTGGTCTCGGGACCAAAGCTGGGAACGCGTCTATGAGGAGACATCTACCTGTAAGTAGCTGAAATGTATCACAAATAGCATAAACTGAAATCCACGTTCTCTACTCACGGAGATCCTGAGGATCCCTTATGCAGATCCTACTGGACACACATTTCTTACATGTTTTATTTAGTTTCCAAGCTTACCACCTAGTAGAAATAGCAAAGAAGAAAGGCTGTTGGCGGTAGAAATACCTTTGAGCAAGAGATCGAGACATAAGAAGCCTGCCAGGACTGAGCGCTCAGTGCACCAGCTCCATGTGTAAGACAGCACAGTGGCCCACAGCTCCACACTGGAACACACACTATACATAACTTCACCTTCATGCTGATGAGAGGTTAAACTGCCATATACTCTGCTGAGTGAGGTAGAGACATGTGTAATGTATTTTGGGACCCAAATATTGATAGTTTAAACAAACGAAAGGGGCTAGCTCTCCCCTAGCTATCATCAAAATTCTTATCAATAGGGAAATAGCTGTCTGAATGGCTCATTCCTGAAGACCTCCAGAAGCCCCGGCCTTTACAGGGCTGCGTCTCACCTGGCTTGATTACGTGAATGGTCTTCGAGCTTTGCTGAGTGCTCTGCTCTGTGTCAGACTGCGAGGGCAAAGGCACGGGTGGTCCTAGGCCCGACCTCAGAGAGCTTACAGCTCTGTGAATGAGTCTCATCTTGCCAGGAGCAAAGCAAAGAGATGACAGTGGTAGAGAGTCTAGGAGGAGAGAGTGGAGAGTGGGTTCTCTAACTCCGGCAAGCACAAGAGGCTGTGTAAAATGCAGGGCCATGAACCAAATTTCAGACTCCCTGTCCTACCCTGTGGAAGAGAGCCCAGATGTGATTTGCACATCCCTGGGTGATTCTTGTGAGATGGTCTTGGACACTCCTTTTTTTTTTTCTCCTAAGTTTGTTTATTTCTTCCATGAGTAAGATCCACAAACCTGGCTTCAGCCAGCCTGGATGATGGACACATGTACCAGGTGTACTCAGGGAGGTTTCTGGATGCAAACGCAGAGCCTTTCCACGTGGGTCAGTCTTGCAGAGCCCTGTGTGTACCACAGGACCACTCAACCCCAGGGCCCTCCGTAAGAGGGCAAAAGGAAGTGGACCAAACACTGAGCTGGGAAGGAGCCATCTGAAGAGCTCAGCGAGCGTGACTGGGGAGCCCTCATTCAGCCCTCCCTCCTCCAGGAGCTTTTCATCTGTAACCTCACAACAGCCTCCTAGGAAGACATCTTCGCCTTTCTCCCTTCTCGAATCAGGAAACAGTACAGAGCAGTGAATAGACGTGTGTGAGACGCCCCGCTGGTGGGAGGTGGAGCCAGGCCCCAGGCCTCTGGTCGAGCTTCGGGACCTGCGCTTGTCACTGCTGCGGCAAACACAGGGAGGACCGGAGAGTGTTCTTGTACTCCAGGCTGGGTCACCAGGTCTTCAGGATGGCAGTGTCCATTCTGAAGGGACAGAGGCCAGCAGCATGAGCTGAGGGACTGGCAGGATGTGAGAATCACTACCAGGTTTGCATTAACTCAGGTGTGTATGTGCGTGTCCGGGTGTGGGGGTGTGTGTGGTCCTCAAAGTCAAGAAACAAACTTACTTCTAAACAATATGTTAGTTACAAATAACTGGTGAGTTTAAAATGATTGGCTCAATATTTTCCTGTATTTACATATGTTTTGAACACTAGTATATATTTTACTTGCTCAGGTTCACAATTAGCCTTACTGCTTTAAATTGGGAGGTACGTCACCTGAAAACCCAGTAAGTTGGATTATTTGAAAATTTTACTAATGTTTTACTTAAGTTATCGTATGTCCCCCAACTCCGTAGCACCTTGTATACCTCAAAGGAAGGGAAAAAGACCTTGGGGTCGCTTTGGGGACGGGCAGGATTGAAAGGAAGATTTTTCTGAAAGGAGGGAACTTGAACCTGACTAGCCAAAGGAGACCCCCGAAGAAAGGTGGCCTGTTGTCGGAGGTGAGGAGGAGCTGGAGACTGAGGACATGGGGCTGAAGGTCCTGGAGAGCGTGGAGAGAAGGTGAAGTTGAGGGAAGGCATGCCGGTGGCCTTCATTGCCCCTCAGGTGTTGAGGCAAGGCCATGCCTGGTGTGGGTGGGTGCTGGGCATGTGGTACAGTCACTGGGGAGGAACCAGAGCCACACAAGGGGCCACTGTCCTCCCCTCTGCCCTCAGGTGGAGGCACCTTTTTCTAGGCCTTCCGCCATGATCTCCTGGCTGCTAGGTCATGTGGATGTTGGGGCCCAGCTGAGCTGTCACGGGTCAGAGGAGTGTAGCCTTTTAACAGTTACTGCAGAGGAACCAGGAAGAGGCAGAACCCAGAGGAGGTGCCAGCCCCCCTTTGCTGTCCCATTCTCTCCCATGAAGTGGCTCCTTGAGGGTCAGGTGGACCCACACAGATGTGAGGTCAACTGGCTGTTGACAGGGCCCTGAACACAAGTCTTAAGCAGGTGTATGCATCCTGGGGTGAGTGGGCCAAGGAGGAAATCTAGTGTGGGCCTTGAGTCACAGTGGGACGTGTGTCTTCAGGGCTGCCCTTCTTCCCTTACAAGGAAGCCTCAGCAGAGGCTCCTGAAGAAGACCTTAGCCCAAGCTGGGACTTAGAAATGCAGGAACCAGGGACCAGCAGTTAGTGTAATGGCTATGTCGCTGGACTCCCATGTAGTTGACCGCGGTTTGAGTCCCAGACCCGGTGGCTTAAACTCACGCCAGGAGTGTGTGCATGCATGCCCAAGATCCCGAGAGGAGAATGGAAGAGAAGGGATTGTGGCGAGGCCATTCCCCCTGGGGGTGATTTCTTGCTTTCTGTCTCTCTCTGTCTTTTTGGCGAGCACATGCACACTATAGCAAAAACCTCTCAAAAAAAAAAAAAAAAGAAAAGAAATGTAGGAACCAGGAGAGGAACACAGGTAAGTGAGGAGTGTGGCTGGTGAGGCCTGAGACTGCAGTGTTCTCCAGAGACTGCAAAGCCTAGCAAAAACCCCTAAAAAAAAAAAAAAAAAGAAAAGAAATGTAGGAACCAGGAGAGGAACACAGGTAAGTGAGGAGTGTGGCTGGTGAGGCCTGAGACTGCAGTGTTCTCCAGAGACTGCAAAGCCCTGGCTGGGCACAAGTGTGGTGTGGGCAGGGCAGCTAACCTACCAGGCAAAGCCTTGCCATTGCTTATGGTGGGGCCTGGGAAATCACACTAAGGGTTTTCTAAGGGGAACCAAGGAACAACAGGAAAAAAGCCAGTCGGTTACCATCCATGAGGTTAACTTTTGGTAAGGGTTAAAACAGGGGGTCTCCTTATCCTGACTCAGATAGCCTAGAATTTCATTTTCAGAGGAAAAACTTGTTGATTTGGGATCCGACCTTCTTTAAAGTTTCACTCGATTATATAGCATTTTGCAAGAGTGACTTCTGGTGTGTCTGGTCTCCTGGGGCCCAGACATGAGCTCAGCCCAAACAATGGCCTCCTGTAAATTTGTGTAGAGTTAAGCGTAGACTCAGGATCCTGGGGCGGCCTTCCTCATTTCCTCCATTTCTTCTTGTGATGAAACCCTTCTTCCTTTTGTCCTTCACCTCAGTTTCTCGTCTTTCTGTAGCTCTGCGTGTGACTCCGCAGCTCCAGGCCCTAGACTCTGAGCTCTCACTACCAGAGAGAGGTACCCCCACCATCAGGTTGTGACGCCCTGAGGGTCCAGGCTTATTTTCCTTGGTACCACTGGCCCAAACACAGTGCCAGGCACACAGAAGGTACTCAAAGGTTCCACGTGTACACCTCTAGTAGTACCAAGCAGTAGGGGAGCGGGGGCACGGCTGAGGCTGCTAGTTGCCTACCTCATATCCTTTCTTCCCTCCTTTTCTCTTTTTTTTAGACAGAGATCTTTACTATAGGGCATGTGTACTTGCCAGAGGGACAGAGACAAAGGGAAAAAGTGAAAAATTATCCCCCAGGGGAGATGGTCATGCTGCAATCCCTTCTCCTTCATTCTCCTCTCTGGATTTTGGGCACACATGCACATGTGTCCTGTGTGTTTTAAAGCAACAGGTCCGGGACTCGAATTGTAGTCAGTCATGTGGAGTCCAGCATCTTAACCACTACGCCACCTGCTGGTCCCTGCCTTACTTCAGTGATAGACACCTGAATCTTACCTGACCTATTGCCATGCAAACAAAAGCCTACATTTCTCAGTTTCCCTTGCAACCAAGGCTAGCCTACCAGATTTAAGTGGAAGTGTGCTGAGACTCCCTGTAAGGGTCCTTAAAGGATAGGTGGACCCTTCCTCTTTTTCTCCTTCTTTGCTGCCTGGAATGCTAATGCAATAACTTGTTTAGTAGCTGTTTTAGACTATGAGGTTACTCTGAAACCGGAACCATGTATAGGATAATGGAGTAAAAAGATAGGACCCTAAAGCTATGATACCACCCTCGAACTGCCGCCTTGCCATCTCTTGGTTTTGGTGATGGAGGTGGGGTGCTTTCTATCTTGTTGAAATCTCTGTGATTACTTTCAGTTCAGCTTAATCCTGGGTGACACATAGACCCTGCTGGAAGACTTGGATTCTGGTCCTGACCCTTTGGTCACTGTCATTTTGTATGTGACTAGATGGGCCAGTTACCACCCCAGCTTTGTCATCGTTGGTGAAGTGAACTCAGTGATCACTGCCCTGCCTATCACATAGGGGGACTGTCTGAAGTCAGTGAGGTCAAGTTCATAAAAATGATTTGTGTATCGCAAAATGATCACAAATGGGAAGTATACTGATGGGCAGGTGGGGCGCCAAGCAGCCCATTTGGATTGAACCAATGGATGATGGACTCCATTTGCTTATTTATCTCTAGATTATGGGGGCAGCACTATTTCTTTTTCTTTGTTTTTCATTTTTTCGTTTTTATTTTTATTTTTCTGAAAGAGAGATTTTTTGCTATAGGGCACATGCATTCACTGGAGAGAAAGAGAGAAAGAAAGAGAGAAATCACCCCCCCAGGGGGGGATGACCACATTACAATCCTTTCTCCTCCATTCTCTTCTCAGGATCTTGGACACACACACACATGCACGTACGCATGTGCACGTGCACATGCACGCCCGTCATGAGTTTCAGTCTGCCGGGTCTGGGACTCAAAACTGTAGTTGACTATGTGGGAGTCCAGCGATGTAACCATTACTCCACCTGCTGGTCCCAGCCTTTCACTGTTTTCTTAATGCACTATCTCCTTGAGAGTCACTGGAAGGAAGTAGGGGTGTAGTTGCTGGTGACGGCAAAGGCCAGAGAGGATGAATGCTCATTAACTGTTTAGAGGGTGAACAGCAACACCAACAACACGAACTTCCTTCTGTTGAACTTCTCTGCAGCTGTGTGGCTCCACTCTGCATTACTGTGCATTGTTTCCCACTGTTTATTACATGCAATGCACCAAATTGGCTGTTCTCAAGTCGATTCTGGGCTGTTTACCAGTCTCCCCATTCCACCTCCACCAGTTAATAAGAAGAAACCTCTTATTATTAATTCCCTAACCTGTTTCAAATGGACTTAAAAGAAATGCCAGAGAACAAAGTTTCCTTGATCAAAGTATCTTAAGATGTATCTACTCTTATTATATCCAAGTGACAAAAAGAAGTAAAAATTTTCCTCTAAGAATGAAAAGGAAATGAGGTCAGTGATAGTCTAATTGTGGACTCACTTGGCTTTGACCTCAGCCTGGACTATAACAATATGTGTTTCTGAGTTTTTAGCACTCAGTAGGCGCCAGACATGGTTTGGCTACAAGTTATACCATTTCAAAGCCCTCAACCTATTTTACTAATGAGTTAATTGAGCCTCAGGGAAGTAAAGCCACTCGTCCAAAAGTCTCAGAGCTAATAAGGGGAAACTTGAGATTCTAAGTAGGTCTGTCCAATTCCCAAAGCCCAGTATACTTTGTGCTGTAAGTTTCCATGCTCTGTATAAAGTGACACTCCTTAATTATGAATATAATCTTATGTAACTAAATTGCACATTAAAGGTAGCCCTTTTGATCTCACTGATTCTACGATGTTCTTTGCTCTGCTTGCTTTTCTGATGACTAAACAGGCCCTTAAAGGAATAGAACCCATTTTGTCAGATTTCCTTAGTTTTCGAGTGAAAATAGTTCCTGTTAGTTTATCTTGTTCATCTGATAACCTAAAGACATTTAGTGTTTTTCTTTATTGCAAAATAAGGTGGATTTTAAAGTTATTCTGCCTTTTCTTCAATTTTGTGTTGGAATACATTTTTTGTTGTGATGTGCAGTGAGAGATGGTCACTTTTAAAAAAAAATATATTTCTTCCATGAGTGAGAGAGAGAGATATTCCGCACCTTCCAACAAGATTCTCATGGTGCTATCAGTCAACTTCAGCCAGTCCCAGGTCATGGGCACATGCGCATGTGAGTGTATTCAGAGAGGTCTTTGGACACAAACCAGGGACCTTGCCATGTGGGTCAGCATCTCAGAGCATTGTGTTACTGCTAGTCTGGTCCCAAGAAGATGGCTGTTTTGCCAGTTGATGTCTGGTCTGTTGTCAGGGTGAGCCTTATGAATTTTGGGCATGAAAAAAGGAAAGCTGGGCTTCAAGAACTAGCTAAATAGGGGCTGACAGATGGTGTGGTGGTTAAGGGCACTGGACTCCCACATGGCTGACAGTGGTCTGAGTCCCTGACCTGGCAGCTTTCTTTCTTTCTTTCCCTCTCTCTCTTGTTCTGTCCTTCTCTGGTCAAATTAAAATAAATAAATAAATAAATAAAGTTAAAAAAAAAACTAAGCTAAATAGAATGGTTAAGAGTCTTATAACTGGGACCCCCAGATGACATGATGGTTATGTAGCTAGACTCCCACATGGCCAACCATGGTTCAAGTCCTGGACTTGAGGCTTAAAATTTACTTTGAATACATGTGCCTGGGTGCCCAAAATACCAAGAGGAGAATGGAGGAGAAAGGATTGCGGCATGGCCATCCCACTCTACCCTCCCACCCCCCGAGGGGATAATGTCTCACTTTCTGTCTCTCTGTTTCTCCAGTGAGCAAACATGCTCTATAGGAAAAATCTCTCTCTCTCTTTTTTTAAAGTGTCTTAGAATCTGACAACCCAGATGACCTCCCAGTGTCTCAGTTTCCTCATCTGTAAAAATAGGAAAAATGAGAGCACCTACCTGACAGGGTTATTAAGAGGTCTAAGTGTGCCACTCACTGGCAGAGAGGCAGTGGGAGTAACGGCTCTGGATTTGAATCTTAGCTCCTCCCCCCAGGAGCACATGGTGCTGTCTCTCTGTGTCTCACTTTTCCAGGAAAGAGAGACACCAGTACCCCTACGTCACAGCCTGTTGTGACGATGGAGTGAGTTCAGCAGCTGTAACTGTCAGTGCTCCTTACTCCAGGCCCCTAGATAGGTGTTAACACGTGTGATGTGGAGGCGACGCCCGCTCATGTCCCCAAACTCAGACCATTTACACTTGATCCTGCCTAGGGACAGCACACTGGAGTGACTAAGGAAGTTTGAGTTCAATTACTTGTCTCAAGGAAACAAAATAAATTTGTACTTCAATTTCATTTTTCCATGAATTTTTTGAAGTATCTTTGTATATAAACAAGAATGATTTGTGTGTGTGTAGTTAGTAGAGTCTAGACCTTTTCTATAAAAATGACAAATACAAACATGAGTACTTACATCCTACATCATCAGTGGCCCCAAACTTGAGTAGGTGTAGTTGTTCCAGCTGCAGGTGGCTTAGCTATTAGGGGTCTTGATGACACTTTGAGCAGTCAGATGCCCTCCTGTTGGGATTCTTGGGGTTTAAGTGGGAGATTTGTTGGATAAGTGGAATCCACATACCCCTGCTCCCTGTATGTATTCACCCAAGGTCCACTTCGCTGATGACTGTCGTATCTTCCCAGTCCCTTACTGGCTCATCAGCTTGCTTGGAGGGTCTGGATGAGGTTTCACCTCCTCGGGTGTCCTCACTCTCACCCACTCCCACCTTGCACCCAGGAAGGAAGGACAGTAGGGGCAAAAGCATCTTGCTGAGCCACCACCTGGACAACGTCTCTTGCTGAAGGCAAGCTAGCTCCCTGTGCATTATTGTGGTGGGCTGGAAATGACTGGGAAACCACTGAATTTTGACTTACTTTTGAGACTTCACACTAGGTTTTCTTTTTTCCTCAGACCTAAACATTGACCACATAATCTTTAACTCTGCTCACTTCTGCCCATCACCATCCTCCATGGGCTGGGTTAGCCCTAATCCTGCCATTGACATAGCCCTCGAAGTGGCCTTAGTGAGATGAGAGTTAAGAATCCTAATTTTCCAACGAGCTTTAATGAAACCCCAGTAAACTCAAAGCATTTTGCTACCATCCTTAGGAACTTCGCAGTCTTCACAGCATCCCTGTGGGTTGTTACTGAAGTACCTTTGGCTGCAGTAGTCCAGAATCAAGCTCAACAGAGTTGGCAGTAAAGACCATGCATGGAACAGAGTCTCACTGCTTGTTGGATTCATCAGTTTTAAGAAAATTTCCCAAGATAGTAATTTTCCCATCTCCGTACTTTGTTAGTTAATGTTTTCCATTTGCTTGGGTTTATTCTCTCAATCCCCTTGCTAATTAAATTGCTGAGAAGTATATACTGGTAAGAATAGATGCTATCAATGGACTGCAAACAAAATTCTTTTCTGTTATTGATGATAAACCATTTCAGAGAAGACCAGGCTGAGTCTAAAGGGTTCAGATAATTATAAGGAGAAGGCAGAGAGAGTAGTTCATGGCCACAGTACTTAGCCACTTCTGGACAACACACAATGCTTGTCAGGTTGATGACAGTGGGGACGTACGACCGGGCCTCAGCCTCTCTGTCTTCTGGTGGCCTCATCTCATTCTGTGGCCTTTTCTCCTTAACCACAATGGCACACTTGCCATAGGCCTTCTTCACCACATTACAGAACTCAAAGAAGGGGCTGTCTTCCTGCTTGATACATAGCTCATCTCTTAGGAACATCCGATAATTCCAAGGTACCCATCCTTGGCTGCCACCACCATGCACAATGCACCAGGTTGGAGTTTGCATGAAATACCCATCACTAAAATCCTCCCCAGTTACCAGACTTTCTGGGATATCAGTTTCCCCAAAGTATATGGTCTTATAGCCATCGTACTGCAGCGTTCTCAGGGTTTTCAGATACTGGAGGCATTGCTTCCTCTTGATGCTATCAAAGTGACTTCTGATAATGATGTTTCTTAAAAGGGGGTTAGCGAAGTGAGGCATGGTGGCTCCTCAAGTGTTCTTGAAAGCTTGTGTGTCTCCATCTGGGGAGATCTGGCAAGTGTGGGACTATGACCTCATAAAGGGCTTTTTGACAGCTTTGCCAGTCCCTTAGATACACTTCAGATTTTAAAGCATCCTGGAACATACACTCAGAACAACTTCCTTCTGGTCCACATGATATGGGAACGGCAAATGCTACCCGTAGAAAATGCCAGTTTGACTTCACTTTTGCAATAGGTTTGGGACAGAGGTGGGCAATATTTGTGTGTCTATGTTTTGTTTTGTTTAGGTTTTTGCCAAAAGGAGTGTGTACTTGCCAGAGACAGAGAGAGAGAGTCATCCTCAGGTATGACCATGCCACAACCTCTTCCCCTCCATTTTTCTCCTGGAATTTTGGGCGCACATGCACACACACACACACACACACACACACACACGTGCCTAGCATGATTTTCAAGCTGCTGGGTCTGGGGCTCAAACTGGAGTCCAGCACCTTAACCACCCCGGTACCTGCTGGCCCCATGGTGGGCAATCTTTTGACAAGGACGAACTACGTTTCTGACAGCTATTCACTTGGCTCATTAGGATGAAGAGAGAGATTAACGTTTATTCATCTGTTCCAGAACTGTTTGCTGAGCAGCTACTATAGTCCAGCCATATGGCAGGCACCAAGGGAATGGCCATAGCTTGTCCAGAGAGACCTGGATGTGTGTGGTTTGTGTCTGTATATGCATGGAGTTTGTGCCAGCTATCTGCTCACTTGCACAATTGAGCTTTTTTCATATGTCAGGAGGAGGTTATGGCAAATGGCAAAAGGAAGTTAGCCTGCATACCTGTCTTTCATCGGGGCTGCCAGTTCTTGAGTTAATTCAGTATTCCATTTGAAAAGCAGTTTTAATTTCATATACTCAGGCATGATGACAGTTTGTTTTGATCTCTGTTAGACCCTTCAATTCCTCTATATTTTCTTGTCTCCTTAGTTAGAGCTACAGATGTTCCACAAATGTGCATAAATGAAGACATGAGCCAAATGACGTATCAGTATTCACTATGCGGCTGAATGAATGAAGATCGTCCCTGCCCCGACAAGAGTTTTCTCGGGACTCAAATTTAGACAGCAGACAGTAATGGCAAGGTGATCCCATTATAGTGAAGTTAACATGAAGCACGTGGTCTCCACACAGTTTCCCAGAAGCCAGGATCAGTGGGATTGGGCTGATAATTGATCACTGTGGCTATTTTCTCTTAGGATTCTTCTTTTAATAGTGGAAACTGTTTTGCAGACCAAATCTGATGTCAGTGCTCAATATGTAGAACAAAGGTGTGCCTGCTCGGTTTGAAGTTGTAATGGTGGTTCCAGAGTCTCCCTGTTCAGCCCCAAGGCTAGACAGCCTGGAATGGCGGTGTGAAAGCACTGTATGGTGCTTCAAAGTCAATGTTTTTTAAGAATTATTTTTAAAATTTTATTTATTTTATTTAAATTTGACCAGATTGGGGGGAGGGAGGGAGGGAGGGAGGGGGAGAGAGAGACAGAGAAAGAGAGAGAGCGAGAGAGAGAGAGAGAGAGAGAGAGATGGA